ATCATGAACTAGGATGTTGGATATCAGTATTTAACTAGACAATCATGAACTGGGATGTTGGATACCAATATTTAACTAGACAATCATGAACTAGGATGTTGGATATCAGTATTTAACTAGACAATCATGAACTGGGATGTTGGATATCAATATTTAACTAGACAATCATGAACTAGGATGTTGGATACCAATATTTAACTGGACAATCATGAACTAGGATGTTGGATATCAATATCTAACTAGATAATCATGAACTAGGATGTTGGATACCAATATTTAACTAGACAATCATGAACTAGGATGTTGGATACCAATATTTAACTAGACAATCATGAACTAGGATTTTGGATATTAATATTTAACTGGACAATCATGAACTGCAGAAATTTATCGAAAGTTTACAATTCTACCCTATAATAAAAACTACACTAAAGATTCAATATTAAAATACAACGTTTTTTTGGCATGTTTGCTTACCTGTGCTGTACTGATTTGAACAGTATCGACAAACACAGTCCATGTGACTACTTCGCTGCAAGGGGGCGTGGTAAGCGAGCCTGTGTATCGGAAATACGGGAATGTATCCGGAAGTAATGATTTCAACTTTAGTTCTTTATCCAGTTTGACTTCAGAATTTCTGTACTGAATACTCGACAACTTATCAATAATTGCGGAGAGGTTCTGGTTATCTTCTTTAGAGATCTACAAATTAACGAAAAGATCAAACTATACTTATGAGACAGAAATATTATGCTTTTGTTAAATAAATTAATATTATTTAATTTACCGGATGTTTTAATTCACCTAGTTTAATCGTTTTTCTGATGTTTATTATATGCAACATAGATTTTTTGTGCTTAAACAAGACATCATTCTGATGATAAGTTTATATTGCTTAGATTTCCTTTTGTTTGTGCCAACTTCAACAATCAGGTAACAGGCTGCTTCAGTTGTGGAAATCATATTGAGAATAAAAGCACGAGGGTACAAAGTTATATAACATTCCAATTAAAATAAGAATTTCGTACACACAACTGAATTTAGATGCATTTAATATCACAATCAATTAAAAGAATGTATAATAGATTCGACAGGTTTCTGTAGGTTTATATTTACAGGTATAAACAAGGTTTATATTTACAGGTATTCATAACAGAAATTGTCAAAGATAGCTTAATGTGTTAAATGAATTTATTCTTAAGAACTCAGTTTAACAACATAGGTAAATATTCCCAACCCTGACACTATTGTACTACATAGATAAATTGAATATACAGGTCAGAACTCCTGAAATAATCGAAGATGTACATTAAGTGTATAGAGAATTTGGTCAGTGATTATGCGCGTAATGATGCAATAAAATACGGGTTTACTGATGAAGAATTACTACAGTAAAAGTTGACAAGACGCAGAACTGAGTGTTAATACACTTGTGAATATTAAACATAAGATAGCTCGACAAGACGCAGAACTGAGTGTTAATACACTTGTGAATATTAAACATAAGATAGCTCGACAAGACGCAGAATTGAGTGTTAATACACTTGTGAATATTAAACATGAGATAGCATCTGAAAACACTGTTGTGGTTTTAACAGGTAAGTTACTCATGCACCTGTTGAAATGCAGATGGAGAAACTGAGAATGAAGAATTCTGAAAGTGAACAAGTCTCACACGAAAACTTTCACACAGGTTCACTATTGTGGAGTAACAAAGATACGTCCCACCAACAGGAGCGTAGCGAATCACATACGGGACGTACAGATCTTTGTTTCATCTTGCATGACTTGAGGAACTAGTTCTAGGAAAAACGTGACAATTAATATGTTACTGGGTAAACATACACAAGATGACTGACATTTAGTTACCCCATGGCCTTTCTTCCAGTTTGTGGAAGTACTGGCATTCGGTTTCCACTACAGACGAAATTTACTATACCACAAGTTTTGTATACAACAAAAATATATTCCTATGTATCGTGTTTAGAGTTGTCATTTTCTCACCACAGTGTGTGTATAGAGGATTTGAAGAACACCTAGAATTAATACTACGAATTTATTCTTTTGAATTAAAAGCTGTTTAAAATACACTATAAACAAATATGAAGTTGAACCTATTATTCGATGCACCACTGAACTATAAGAAGCCTAGTCTTATACTTTCGATTTGCTCTTATCCAAAGATACTGATGACGGGTGGAACACCTGAAATCTTTATAATTCAGTGACAAGTTACTGATGACGGGTGGAATACCTGAAATCATTATAATTCAGTGACAAGTTACTGATGACGGGTGGAATACCTGAAATCATTATAATTCAGTGACAAGTTACTGATGATGGGTGGAATACCTGAAATCATTATAATTCAGTGACAAGTTACTAATGACGGGTGGAACACCTGAAATCATTATAATTTAGTGACGGTGTTCCACCCGTCATCAGTAACTTATTTCAGTCACTGAATTATAATGGGTGTTCCACCCGTCATCAGTAACTTTTGAAATCATTATAATTCAGTGACAAGTTACTGATGACGGGTGGAACACCTGAAATCTTTACAATTCAGTGACAAGTTACTGATGGCGGGTGGAACACCTGAAATCATTATAATTTAGTGACAAGTTACTGATGACGGGTGTAACACCTGAAATCATTATAATTCAGTGACAAGTTACTGATGACGGGTGGAATACCTGAAATCATTATAATTCAGTGGCAAGCTACTGATGACGGGTGGAACACCTGAAATCATTGTAATTCAGTGACAAGTTACTGATGACGGGTGGAATACCTGAAATCATTATAATTTAGTGACAAGTTACTGATGACGGGTGGAATACCTGAAATCATTATAATTCAGTGACAAGTTACTGATGACGGGTGGAATTCCTGAAATCATTATAATTTAGTGACAAGTTACTGATGACGGGTGGAACACCTCAAATCATTATTATTCAAT